TCGGCTCCTAGCCCGCCCCAGCCTTTGGACACCAACGCACGTTTTCCGGTGATCTTCACGGCGTCGAAGATCATCTTAGTCATGGCATTTGGATCATCCACCACAATGGAACCAAAGCCAATGTATACTGGTGGTTCACCTCCATCGAGAAAAGCTGCAAGATCTGGGGCTGGTGTGTAGTTCGAGGCGAGGTTCAGGAAGTAGAAACCCGCGACGGAGATGTGGTGGTTCCAATCCCTGGGTTTAGGAATCAGTGCAGGAGACCTGTGAGATGTGAGTCAAATTGTGAGCAGCATTTAAGTATACTCACCAGCAATATGTGAAAGGTACTTTCAGACGCGCGAGCATGGCTGGCGCCCAGACAGCGCTGATGGGATCCAGCCGAAGGCTATCCTTACGGAACCTGTTGATGACGTCGCCCAGACCCTGCCACGTCAGTACATCGACCATGATATATGACAAGTAGTTGGTGATAGTGGGGTCTGCATTGCTAGACTGGATGTTGGCGAGTGGATGCGGGAACTGCTGTGTAGGCGACCACGGCATACTATTCAAATCAGCAGGTGCGCGTATCTCAACGAAACCAGACATACGTGAACATCATGTGTAGAGGTATGCCCAACTTCTCGGCGCAATGTATATGGCCGAAAGCGGGAGGATTTGCGATTATGGCATCGGCGACGAATGGTTTGCGCAGTTGCTCTGGTAGTTGGTCCTCGATACCCATCCACTCTTCGACCGTCTGCTGGAGCGGGTCTACGCCGAGACCATTGCCCGTCTCTATGCAAGATCTCCATGTGCCGCTCAGAATCTCTGCGATGCCCTTCCTCCTCTTGCCAATGTCACCACTGCGCAATGTATCGAAGCCAGGCATCAGCCCCGGGTTCTTCACCATGAAAGCCATGAGTTCAGCTGGATCGCCTCCGATACTGAAGAACTCCAGTCCATTCTCGATAACGAAGTCCTTGAACGTCGGATGCGTCGCTAACCGTACCCTGTGGCCGTACGTATCCTTGAGCACCTTGCCCAATGCGACGAATGGCTGGACATCACCACGAGAGCCCACCACTTGTATGACGACGTTTAGCGGAGGTGGAGGTTGCTGGCCGGGTGCACCACCGAGGAACTCTGGGACGTATGGTGGAGGCGGCTCGGGATCTTCTTGCGCGTTTGTGAGCTGACGCTGTATTTGCGGGAGGATGAGTTGTGATAGCGCGCGGCTCTTCTGATCGATTCGGATATTAACACGTCCATCGTCGGCGACTACTGCGTTGGTGCCCAGCTCTTCATTCTCGACCTGGCCTGGCAACTCGGTGTATGCGGGTGGTAGGTCCCCAAGGGTCGGTGCTTCGTAGGCGGGACCATCGTTGGCGCTAGGGGTGTGATGTGAACTAGAGGGCGCGCTACGCATCAAGTCAGTATAGAACTGTCGTCAACAACTAGGTAAGACCAACGCGGGTTGTGTTTGTGTATATGGCTGTGTTGGCGGGGCATTGTCGCGGGGCGCGTCATTGCCCTGCGCGGGGTTACTTGAACTCGCCATGGTGGTTGCAAAAGAAGCCTCAGAAAGAAGGCATTGTAGGTAATGACGAAGCTGTAAGAGAGAGCGTCAGGAGGAGCCGCTACACTAAGAATGAGACGCAGGAGCTGCAAGCCTGTATTCCACGCGCGGGAGAGCATATGCGCTATGATGCGGACCTCTTCGGACTTCTTGGCGTGTGATTGGCCATGAATAGATCAAAGCCACAGGCGGGGCTTCGTCATCGCTCAGCCCCCAATGCCTTGTTACCTACTCCTGGGGTCTAGTTTGCATGTCACAAATTGCATCTGAAACGATCGACACTGGAATTGCTAATCTCGGTGCTGCTTGACAGTGTTAGGCGTCCACCGACCTTCCGCTAATTCAGTTGGCTTGGGTTGTTAGGAACCGAATTCACCGAATACACACCAGTAGTCTGGAGGCCTAGTCGAGATATGACTGAATATATCGTAACGCTACCTGATACCGATGACCCAAAGCCACCTGAAGTCTGCCTCGCCCACTTGCCGAGTATATCGCAGTCCTACTGGTGCAGTCTCAAGCGTATCGAAGCGTATACATGCGTATCCTCGTGTTGTTGTAGCAGCCCACATGGGGTACTCGGTCCACGTAGCAACTCAGAAGGCCCGGAGCAACTGACAATGATACGTAACCATGAGTTTCCATGCGCCGGGCTCGATACGTACAGTCCTGAAGGCTACGCACTGACAGAGAAGCGCCCACTATCGAAAAGAGGTGCTTGAACCGGAAATCTACCTGTTCGCACACATAAGTCAGCCTCTTTATCGGGTCATGACGATACACATGCCTACCACAGATGCGGCCATGCGGAAACGCCCTCCCAAGAACGTTTGCCGTCCGCCTCAGGTGCAGTTGACTTTTGCTCATCTTCTTGCTTCTCTTGGGGTTTCTGGTATACCGAAGCCTTGCTGCTATCAGTGTCGCGCTTGGGTGCTGATGATGTATCGAGGGCATGTTTCGCAAGCCAGATCAGCTGCTCTGTACGCGTCGTTGCTCTATCATTGGCGAGGCGTGTGCATATCTTGTTGACAATGCGACCGGTAGTCGTGATGCCCTGCGCAGCCTGGAGCTCGTTAACGGCTCGGTCAACGTACCCGGCGCGGTCGGACGCTGAGCTGGAGCTTGGTCGTAGCTGGCGCTTGAAAGAGACTGGTGCAGATCTGGAGACAGCACGAGCGGTTTGGAGAGGTAATTTGAACATGGTGACGACGGTACTGGGTAACGTGGAATGTTTGTCGATAAATGAGATCTTGGAAGGGGAGTTGAGACGCGTCTAGGTACGTGACAACTGCCGGCTAGATAGGAAGAAGAAAGAGAGCAGACAAGGTGAAGAGGTGGTGAAAGGGATACTAGGTGTGAGCTGGCAAAGAGGAAGGTGAAGGCCGTTTTCATCTCGCCTCAATACAGGAAGGAGCTCTCGGTTATCGAGGCGCAAACTTCACCCATGTGAAATGGGAGGAAGCTGCAACTGTGCCTTGTTTCACAAGTGGAGCGATGCTCCTCTTCAATACCATCTACGATCCATTCTCAGTCTTTCTCTTCCTCGGCCGTCTAAATTCCATGCGTTCTCGTGCTATTAGCCGCGCGACTGGTGAAGGAAATCGCGTCATATTTTTACTCTAATTGTCCAAGGATCTGGAACTGATGCCATCTCCAAGACCGCAGATGTGAAAGACGCAAGTGAAAGCGCAGTGATGGCGATTCACTCTTGGGCACGTGTGGGGAAGTCGCGATGCGCGTTGCCGTTTCGGCTCTAGTGCGCTTGCCCTGCAGCAATCTCCCGGCCACCCCACGTGAACGGCGCGTCATCATGGTGCATCACGCGTCCCGAGGTCAACAACAGAGGCGCCAGACACTCACCATCTCGTCTCTACATTCTTGGGATACTGCTATTTGTACGAAATCTCAGTTTGATCTATCTTGACCTTCTCATACGGCAACAGTGCAATTCTAGGCTTCCAGCCCCATCTTTCAGCTCGCATCCACCCAGCCACAAGCTCTAGGAGGTACATAAACGCCGCGCGCTTCGATATCTTTAGACATAGACATCTCTTCACCTCTTTTCGAACTACCAGCTCTACTAACCTCCGGTACCATGTTGCATAGAAGCATCTTCATAGGAGCTACACTTGTAGCTTCGGCGAAAGCATGGAACACAGACGGTACGTCCTTTCACTTTCGCGAGTAGCTAGCGCTAAGTCCACACAGTTCATAATCAAGTCGGCTTCATGGCAGAAACCTTCTTCACGCCCGAAACCACGTCCGTCCTTGCGGAGATCCTCGAACCCCAATACAACGGCTCAGTCGGGCGCTCCGCAGCATGGGCAGACGGGTATGCGCACACCAGCGAAGGCCACTTCTCGTACCAGTGGCACTGGATAGACACACACGATCGCCAACCTGAGAACTGCAGTCTAGACTATGCGCGAGACTGCTCCAAGGGCGGTTGCGTTGTTAGTGCTATTGCGAACCAGACGAGGATACTGCGGGAGTGCATAGACCAGGTGTATGCTGGTGATTTATCGGGAGGTGCAAATCTGACTTGCTCTTATGCACTGAAGTGGGTTGCTCATTTTCTGGGCGACATTCATCAGCCTCTACATGCAAGTGGCCGACAAGTAGGAGGCAATACGTACAAAGTGGTATTTGGTGGCGCTCACACGCAGTTACATTCTGTGAGTATCTTACACGGACAGCAAAAGGATGTGCTAACAAACAAGGTCTGGGACGGCTACATACCCTACTTCGCGGCGAACGTCGACCATCCCTTCTCGCACGAGTCGATCGATCCATTCTTCTCTGGGCTCGTCGCTCGTATTCGCAAAGATCAGTTCTACTCCGCGCCGTACATGTGGCTCTCCTGTACCGACCCTTCTACACCCGAGGAATGCGCAACAAGTTGGGCGAAGGAGAGCAACAAATGGGACTGCGACTACGTGTGGAGTCGCGTAACGAACGACACAGATCTTGGAACTAATGGGTATGCGGCAGGCGCTGTGCCCATCGTAGAGCTTCAGATAAGCAAGGCTGCGCTCAGACTGGGTACGTGGTTGAACAACTTGGTCGAAGGGGCCAAACCCACTGTGGAAGAAGAGGAAATGATGGAGCTTTGAAGTGACAATCTAACAAAGAGCATCATTTGCGAACTGCGGCTGGTTGTACATGTGCCACGCTGATCTCACATCATCTTGACTCTCCACATACGGGCTTAGCCAGTACCTGCTGCATATGCAAACCAGTGGCGTTGATGCAGGGTGTCTTGCCTTCAGCCCTACAAAGATGCCGGGACCCCACATCGGCATAGGTGCCATCTCCTTCCCCACATCCGGTTATATACTCTCCCGTCGCTGGCTGCATTGGCAACCAAACATCATATTGCTTTGCTTGCTTTCTATACAGCGGTTCTATCTGGCGAAAGAAACTTGGGAATTCTTTCAACATGGCTTTCGACGACTTTAATGACAAAATCACACCTGCCGTATGTACCTCCAACGGCCCCACATCTACATTCTCGATACTCTTTGGCATCTTCGAACAGATGAAGCCGCCTTTGGAGCTCATTCTTTCTTGATGAACGAAAACCCTTATCTTCAAACCCTTGCTGACCACACTCCCAGAACCCAAGCCGGGAAACATCACCAAACCGCGGCTCCTCCGTCCATCAATCTATCGCCATACCCAAGCCCTGCAAACCACTCCGACAATTGCAGCAAGAACAAAACATCGACCGCGATGCCCAAATCAAACTCACAAAACTGGTGCACATGCGGTACCAACATCCTGATCTAGACGAAATAACCACCTTTCTACGTGACTTTGGCATGAGCGTAGCCCAAAAAGCCCCAGGCAAGAAATGGTTCAAAGGCTACGGCTCAGACCAATACGTCTACTACGCACAAGAAGGAGAGAAAAAGTTCCTCGGCGGCTGTTTCGAAGTAGAAAGCTACGCCGAGCTAGAAAAAGCGTCGAAAGTTGCGGGTGCTGGTCCTATCGAGGAGTTGACCGACGCACCAGGCGGCGGCCACATGATCACATTGCACGACCCAGAAGGCTTCCCCATAAATCTCATTCACGGGCAAACGAAAAAAGAACCCGGTCCCTTCCCAGAAGTCCTAACAACAAACTACGAAAACGAAAAGCCTCGCATCGCGCGCTTCCAACGCTTCAAACCCGGTCCCGCCGCCGTGCACAAACTCGGCCACTACGGCCTCTGCGTCCAAAACTTCCAAGCCGAAATGCAATGGTACACCCGCACCTTCAACATCGTCCCCACCGATTTCCTCTACATCAACCCCAACCCGTCCGACCCCTCCCTCCCCCAACAAAAAGACGTAGCCATCTTCGCGCACCTCGACCTCGGTCCCGGCTACACAGACCACCACACCATCTTCCTCTCCAGCAACCCCACTTCCCATGTCCATCACTGTAGTTTCGAAGTCCACGACTTTGATACGCAGAATTTGGGGCATGAGTGGTTGGCGAGTAAGGGGTATAAGAGTGTTTGGGGCGTGGGGAGGCATATATTGGGGAGTCAGTTGTTTGACTATTGGTGGGATACGACGGGGAATATGATTGAGCATTATGCGGATGGGGATTGCGTTAATGAGGAGACGCCCGTGGGGTGGGGGGAGGCGGGTGATGAGAGTTTGGCGGTTTGGGGGCCCGAGGTGCCGAGCTGGTTTTTGGATTGATGGAGGTGGGTTTTGGGAAGGGTGGGGATGGGGTTCTGTGTACTCGGTCTGTTCGCTTATGGAAAAGGATAATCTATATTCTGTACTCCTATACCATCTACAATAACCTTAATCTACCACTCCCTCGCCCTCCCCCATCCCCGATCTGTAACTCCGTCGTTGCCATAGTATCTACCACTTATCGGCTCAGTTTCCTGTGTTAAACCGCCGTCTCTATCCCCACCCTTACCAAGCTGCCCAATCCCCAACCGAACGGGTATCCTCGCCCCCTCCTCCAACGTCTTCGGCGGCCTCCCAATCTGATTCCCCATATCACTATCCACCCACCCAGGACAACAGCAATTCACCAACACACCCTCGTTTTCACGTGCCAGAACCACTGTTAAAGCGTTCATCAGCGCTTTGCTGACTTGATACGATTTCGGCGGCGCGCCAAACCCGGCGGCTTCTTGGGATGAGGATTTCACGGAGTTGATGTATTCTTGAGCCAAGGTGTCGACGTCGGAGATGGAACTGACGGAGCGGAAACGGGATGCAGTGGTGCTGGGGTAGTTTGATAAGGACGAGGCGGTGCTGGAGACGTTTACGATACGCGCGTTTGGTGTGGATGACATTTTTCCTTCGGAGAGGAAGAGTTGGCACATTTGTTTTGTGCCGTGGTAGTTCACGTTGATGACTTGTTTCGCGGCATCGGGGGTTTCGTTGTTGTTGTTGTTTATACCGGCGTTGTTGATCAAGACGTCGATTTTGCCGCTGTCGTTGAGCGCGGTTTTGAGGAAGGATGTTATGGATGATTTGTCTGAGACGTCGAGTTTTGCGTAGCGGATCTCGTTAGGCGGTTTTGCTTGGATTTTGAGGTCTACGCCGCCGCGGGATGTGGCATAGATGTGGAGGGGTTGTGGGTGTTGGGTGGTGGCTAGGAGGTTGATGATGCCTTGGCCGATTCCACGGTTGGCGCCGGTGACGACTATTGTTAATGGGGATGCCATATTTTCTGAGAATTGTTCAGATTGATGGTTTTGAGTTGTATATCCTTCAGAAACCACTGCAGGTATGTTTATGTACCCAGATGTGTACTTGTGAGAGTGGTGATGTCAGGCGATCCATGACGTATCGATCTTCACTTGACCACATGTAGCGAGAGAAGAAAGGAACACATCAAAGGCACTTTAGTCAATGAGCAACGGTGTGATATAAACAGAACTTCTATCTTGATATGACCATACAGCGCACGATATTCGAAAAAAACTCTGGCGACAGGACCTGATACCAGCTGACCTGTCCATCTACTAAGCTTTCCTTGATTAGTCTCCGTACTCATGATGCTGTCCGTGATGAACGCACGTATTCAGCACATCTCACTCCCTCCATAGGTCCCTTCAACGTGATAAGGGCTTGCTGTCCAGAAGCTCTCCAATCTTCCCCGCCAACCACTCTTCAGCCTCGGGCCAGTCGTCTCGCCCCAGGAGCATGTTGAACTCATTGAGGTCTGTGCGACGCAGTTCTGGTATCTCAAGCATAATCTTCTTGATAAGCTCGGGGGCAGACATTGAACTGGTCAGTACTTCTACGATCGCGTGGTACATGCCTGACTTAGCGGTGAAGCGTGCTTCGGCACATCCGGTCTCCTCCATAGCTTTGGTATAGATTTGACGATAGTGGTCCAGTTGATATCCCATGCATGGGTAGTCGTGCAGAGTGAAGCAAGTGTGCCAATCACGGCGGAGAAAGATGGGAAGTGAGGCGTAACCCACGAAACGTGGACTTGCGAAGACACTCCAGTCTAGAATGCCTGTGACATTGCCATCATCGTCGACGAGAATATTATGGAGGTAGAGATCATTCCCCAGGACAAAGGTCTCTTCCTCGTTAGCCTCGGCGTTAGACGCTTTGGAGTTCCTGATGACGGGCTGCGAAAAGATGATCTCGAGCACTTTCCGGTAGCCTAGCGCTCTAAGGCGGTCGCAGGTGCCTGGATACAAGGTATCCAGTACCTCCGAATCTAGAGGCGGCCAAATCGTCCTGAAATTAGGAGTCAAGTACTCGATACTTGACGCGAATGGTCCGTACTGGTAGACCTGAGTGTCAGACTCCAGGTCTTCATGCGTGAGGTCGGATTCATCCTTCCACTGAGATAAATAGGAAACGCGGGGCGTCTCACTGCTCCCCCCATCGGTAAACGCAGGAATGCCAATGCCCTTGAACTCAACCTTTTGTAGCCCTGCCATAGCATTGGCAAGTGAACGCAATAGGTTCACACGCTTTACCTCAGTTTCCTTTGAGATACGGACTGCGGTAATGTGGCTCATGTCCGAGGCATCTTCGAACCAAATCTCATGCGCACGACGGCCAGGTAAACGCTTCATGAGTATGTAAGGCGCACCTAGGTTGGATCCCTCTACAGACTCTGCTGATGCGATGACCTCTGGGGCCGGAACATCCGTGTGCTGAAAGAGGTACTTCATAAGACCAACTTCATTTCTCAGATTGTGGGCGTCTCCCGCTCGCCAGCGAGGTTGCGTGCCCACGGATGGCACCGATACGACGTAGTCTTGATCACCCTGGTCTTTGTGGCGGACTTGAAGCGTCACAACGAGGTTCATTTCGCCCTCATAGCGCGAGAGAATTTCGACATTTGCACGCTCAAGCTGGCCGCTGGGATCCACGGATAGCAGGACAATATCCTTGAACTTGTCGTCTGGAATTTGTCGAAGAGGCTCCCAGTCGTGGCGTTTTAGGTTAAGAGCAAGGTGAACGCTTTCATCGTCATCAACAATGTAGCGCTCGTGGTCGTCATCATCATCAGACACTGGTTCGTCCAGGCCAATGCCAGAATTTATGCCGCCATCCTCAGTCTCTTCGTTCCCCTTAGGTCTAGAGGGCTGGTTTCGATAAGTCTTGTTTTGGTTGGCATGTTCGTCGGCTGGAATACTGTTCCGGTCAACTGTCGACTCCTGCGCGGTCATGCAAATGTCTAGATTGACCAACGAGGATGTTATCTTGTCCTCTTCCGATGACATGATGGTCTGAAGCAATGGTTTAGAGCTTCGAATGTGAGTAGTATGTTGAAGAGAGTAAGTGGCGAACTTTTGGTTGACCTGTAAAGGATGTGTAGGGTTTCGGAAGGTGAGTAATGATGTGGGGAGAATAGGGGACGAACTTATACTCAAGAGAGCTGGTAGCTCATGGGGTGAAATGAAGCCGCAGACTCATCTCAGAACGATGGCGAATACTGGCTTGCCAAAGGTTCAGAGTGAATGCGGTCGCGTTGTTCGACAGTCGGAAGGCCCAGACTTGTCACGCCAAATCGTACTGACACTTGACAACATTGTGAATTCTGCCACACATTCCTCGAACATCCATGTAGGCTATTCTAGTTCTTTCTGCAAGATTGAGTGCGGGCCAGGAGTGACAGGCACATTGTTGTGCCGTTGCTTTCACCCTATAGCCATGGCAACTAATGGTTCCGGTTTCGCAGTTTTCATTTCGCTTTTGTGTCCACGAAGTTACAGTTCCCACAGATACGCGGAAGGCTATATTGGGTTCTTCAAATATGCTCGTGGCATAAAGCTCGCGCATGCTCAGGCTAGACTTCAGGGCCAGGTTTTGTTTCGCCATCGGTGGCAAAGGTGAACGGTAGGTATGAAGCTTGACACGATGATGGCCAGCCCGGCATCAAGTGGTCGTGTTGATAGACACAAGAGATGAGCAAGCGCACCGACAGTCGAAAATGACAGAAGTCAGCAAAACGCGGAGGGTAAGACGCATCTCCAATGCGGATGCGCGTAACAATGAGCTCGGCGATCGGTAATTAGTCAGCGCCATGCTTTGGTGGTCAATGCTCCATAGTTCCTTCCCACGCTTCCAACTCGAACCTCATCCACATCTCATCACCGAACACCATGCCTCATCAAAAGCACCGAGACATATGAGGGGTCATTTCATTCACCACAAACTGATTCTGTACGCTTAAGGCGTTCTGAAAAGAGTAGATTTTCATGCCTCGCGCATATCTCATGAACGCCAGGTTCTCTCGCCAAGCTTATGCTGATCCTACAGTGCATCGCAGCGCAGCCAGTGGTTACCACTATGTCTGCTCATCCTGCAATATTCATATCGCATCTCAGCGCCTGCGATTTCTTATCAACGCAAAACGATGTTCGGGTGCTGACTGATTACGGAACTACATTCGTCAGCGATAGCAAAGGATTGCGCCGATTCTACGCGGAAACAAATCGATATCTAATCGAGGTACTTACAGAACCGGGATACGCTGATCAGTCTTTCTTCTTCCGCTTTGCTGCAGCTATTTTCTCTTTCATACTCTCCGGCTTCTGCAACTTGGCCCTGGACTTGGAAGAAGCGGCTTTTGCTGCTTTCTCAGCTGCTCTGGCTTTCTGGGAGTCTTTTAATCCCCGTTCTCGCTCTCGATTGGCCTCTCTGATAGCATGGTTATAGGTCATATAAGAGGCGGCATCATTATATGCTTCTTCGTTTGTCTCTTCCTCCTCGATTATACTAAGGAGAACTGCTGGCTTTCGAGGAATTGCATTTGCCTCTGCAGAGTCGTCCGAGGAACGGTCGTTGCTGGTCTCGGGTTTGGTGAGCTGCAAATCCCTATCTGCTACCTTAACGATCTCACAGATCTCAGCGGGCGAACCGTCTGGCGAGACCTTTAGAATTCGAACAAAGCTCGGTTGACCACTGATCAGACCCATGCACATAGTGAACGGAAAGCGGATATCTCCGAGCTTGGGTATGTCCATCTGCCATCCGATCTGCTCGTGGGGGAACTTGCTCGGGAGCTCATAGTCCAAATTCTTCTTCGCCATCTGGAAAAAGCGGTTATCTT